GGTGGAGGTGGTGGTGGTGGTTGGATGGGCTCTGCGTTGAGCTGCTATGCAAAAGGTCTAGTGTGTACCTATCAGCTGCTCCTCGGGAGAAAGACGAGGCATTCTGCTCCTATACAGATTCAATAGCCCCCGAAGCCCACAGGGTAGTTTTGCTCTGTCCTCTAGGAATGCTATAAGTCAGAACTGACGATGGCAATGGGTTTGCTTTTTTGGTTTGTTTGTTATATTTGATGACAATATAAAACATATCTTGCAGTTTCATCAAATATGTTCGCCAGAAAAATACAAGGAAGGCTCTGGTTTGCTAACACTTAGCAAGAACTTATTCATGATCTCAGGCCCAAAAATGCAAATGATAAACTATGCTTTAAAAACCTTCCCACACTGAAGCTACTGCCCTGGGAGAATCTTTGAGGCTGACATTGACACGGCCCTCTGAAGTCAACTTTGAACAAAGAGCAGTTTAGCTTAAGACGGAAAACGTCTGTCTCCAGCACTGTGCTCTTTTTAGAGACTGGTCTCTTCCACTCCTGGTCCACTGACAGCAGGAACTAGCGAGTTCAATGGGGTGCTTGTGGGGCAGTGAGTCACCTTAGTGGTGGAGAAGGACTTGGAGAAAGACTGTGAGGGTATTAAGAAAGGACCTAAGAATAATACATGCACTGAACTGTGCATACAAACTGTTGGATTATGTGCTTTTGTGTGTATATTGTCACCCAAACCCCAAAACACACATTTAAAATAAACCCAGCCAGGGAGAAAGGACAGTCCTTTTTTTTTTTTTGAGAAAAAACATGATTTTAAAAACTTTAAGTGGACAGATTATGGTGGTATAATATATAATGATGACCTTGAGTTAAATGACATATGGACTTAAACTGCTGGGCCATCTATCCTTTCACCTAAAAATATGGAACTAGGAATTTAAAAATCAGAGTTCTAACTTCAAAATAGCCATAGTCTTCTCTTATCTTCATGAATGTACCCATCTAAGTTTAGCATTCCATAACATTGTACCACTACGAAGGAAAAGCCCACTGCAGACGCTGAACTGCCTGCGAGAATACATACGTCGGCAGTAATGTCGTTGAACTTGGTGATGAAAGCATGTTTGACAATGTCCACGGCGATTTCTGATGCAATCACCATACAGACATCTGGAAATAGCACCCAGAGGTGATCTGGAAAATTTTGGGGAACAAAGACAGCTCATTAAATCTAAATGTGAACGGATTCCACAGTAACACAGAAATAAATCTCCAGAAGGAAAAAAACAATGTTATTTTCTATAAACAATGATAGACCTATCATACAATTAATTAATTGTAATCTTTATCCCAAGAGCCATGCTTTAACAATTACACAAGTGTCTGGGCCTGCATGGCTTCCTGTGGGGAATAGGGATCAGATTGCAGCAGGGTGGGTCCTAATCCTTCCTGAGGGGTGCTTCTGACAGGGAGAGGAGACACGACAGTGTGTGTCACGACACAGTGTGTGTGTCTTTCTCTCTCTCTCTCTCACACACACACACAAACACACACACACACACACACACACACACACACACACACGGGCGCTTTTGGACAAGCTGAGGAATGGCAGGAAATGCTGGGGTTACAGAAACTGAGAAGAGGAAGGATCTTCTCTTGGCGTCAACAGAGGGCACAGGGCCCTGCGAACCCTCAGAACCGTGAGAAACCAGTTGTGCTCCTTAAAGCAGGTCCCTGTAGTCCTTCACCATGGCTGCCCCAGCCCAGCACAGAGCACCACCCCTGCAGAGGAAGGCATTCACACCACCCACACAATGGCCTTCTGAGTATAACTCATTTAAGTCAACATTAAAGAATGTATTACAAGTTAGTTACCTGGATTCCAAGAAAATTGTTCCATGTTTCTTAGACACACTATTAGTAAAAGTACATAATTTGTGAATCGTTCCTTAATATCTGAAAAACAAACATCAGAACATGATAAAATTATTATGCTCTTGTACTATGTACAATAACACTGCACCACCCTCACTGTTCTTTTGAGCAGCCAGTGCCAATCCATCTTGTCGAAACGTCTTCCTCTCATCCGCTGCCCTGCTGTTTTTAGCAAGCATGATGTCCTACTTCAGTTACTGATCTCTCCTGCCAACATGTCCAAGGCATGGGGGAGAAGTCTCATTACCTTTGTCTTTAAGAAGCATTCTTGTCATACTTCTAAGACGACTGACCGTACAAGAAATACTCTGATGTACATTCGGGATGGTGCCACACTGGCAAACAGTGTACTTCTGTTGTCACATGGATTCTAGGATGAGAATTCCAGAGTTCTAATTTTGAAAACTTTTTCAAATCATCAGTCTGTTCACACTGGATCATCAGAAGTTCCCCAGTGACCTCTTCTTCATTTTTTTTCTTCCTCGTCTTCATTTTTATAGGAGAAGAGCAAGGAGTAAAACACAAGACTTGGGCGGGTACGTTAAACAGCCGAGTCCTCGACAATTCCCAGTCTGGTGGATGAGAAAAACACGAACCAGCCAAATGCATCCTTTAGCTGAGAACACTATTACAGTGGCATCTCGTAGAATAAAGGGGGACTCGGGGAGGAGAAACCCTCACAAATTAAGTTTCTTAATGACATTTATCCTCGTTAATTAATCACTCTGAGCCAGAACCTGTTTTTTTTTTTATCATTTTATTGGGGGGCTCTTACAACTCTTAGTGCAATCCATACATCGAATGAATACGGCATACTTGTGCATATGTTGCCATCATTCTTTTCTAGACAATTACTTTATATTGAGCCCTTGGTATCAGCTCCTCTTCCCCCCAACCCTCGTGACCCCAATTATTATTATTTTCATATCCCACACTGACCGCTGTCTCCCTTCCCTCATGGTCTCTGCTGTTCTTCGCCCTGGAGGGGTGTGGGCGATTGGGTGTTGATCATTATGATCGATTTCCCCCTCCCCCACTTTCTCCCTATCCTTCTGGTATTGCTATTCCATTCCTGCTCCTGGATTCCGGGTGTCGTGAGCTTTTATCTCTTATCTATACCTGTGCACATGCTCTGGTCTAGTCCAGAGAGAGAAGCAGCACTGAGGTCATGAAAGTGGGGAGTTAGAAAGCCTCAAGGAATCAGAGGAATATTGTGTTTCATCGGTGCTTTACTGTACAGACTGACTCATCTCTTCTCTGTGACCCCTCTGTGGGGGATGTTCCATTGTTTGCAGATGGGCTTTGGGTCTCTGCTCCAAGCCCCCTCATTCTCAACCATATGATTTTGTTTGTTTGTTAAGGGTCTTCTGATACCTGTTACCTGGTCCGGATGACACCTCATGATTGCACAGGCTGGTGTGCTACTTCCATGTGGGCTTGCTGTTTCTCCACTAGATGGCCGCTTGTTTCATTTCAAGTCTTTAAGACTCCAGGTGCTAGATCTTTTAATAGCCAGGCACCATGCGCTTTCTTTGCCTTATTTGCTTATGCACCCATTTTGTCTTCAGAAATTGTGCTGGGAGGGTGAGCATCTCAGATTGCCAATTTGTTAGAACAAAGTGAAGAATCTAGTTTTAATGAATTCAATAAAAGTCCTTAATTGAATTCCTGCTAAAGGTGAGTTTACACATTCCATGCTGTTACTTTCTTACAGAATCTAGGTTGTCACTGAAAAATAGGACGGAATACATCAACTGATGTCCGGAGTAGGCCTGGCCTACTGTGAGACTACCTAATAGAGGCCTGAAGCTAGGGACCACCACCCATGCAGCAAGCTCTGCCCATGTCAAAACATTTTACCCAGTTCCCTAATAGGAGGGGCTTCAGAAAGCTCGTGGGATAATTCCATTCTCTCTTCATTCCATTTCCCCACGAACACTGTGAGGCCCCTGGAACTAACAGCACTGGAAACCCTGGCCTCACCCACCCGTCCTCAAGATGCTGACCAGGATGGCTCTCGGTCTCACCTCTGTTCCTTTTTCTTACTCCCACCTGTCCCTGTGTGACAAAACAAACACTCACTGGAAGGATGGGCTCTGTCATGTGCACATGGGTCCGAGTCAGGGGGTCACTCTCATGACAGGCTCAGTCCAATGACTGTCCATGTCGCTGCTGCTGCTGGAAAACCAAAGTTTCATTTTCTTTTTCAGTTTTCACTATTATTGCTTCCTATTATCAATATCTTTGTCTTTCAATGATCAAATCACTCAAAACTCACTGCTACTGAGCTAATGTAGACTAATATAGGGCAGAGTAGAACTGTCCCTGTGAGTTTCTGAGATTGTTAACTATTTATGGGTGTAAAAAGCCTCCCCCCGCCCCCTTTCTCCCTTGGAGTGGCTGGTTTTAAACTGCTGAACTTGTGGGTCACAGCCCAATATATAACCACTCTGCCACCAGGTTCCTTTTCACAACAATAAAACGATGAAACAGGCTGCTAATGAAGATTTAAAAAACCAAACCAACTTCCTCAGCTGGCTATAACTATATACTGACCCTGCGATCTGTGGCATCGGAACCTTTGTTCTCTCTAGAGCATTTTAAAATCACATGCTTTTAAATCATCAGTTCTCAACCTGTGGGTTGCGACCCTTTGGGTGTGGGGGGTGTCGAATGACCCTTTCACAGTGGTCGCCTGAGTCATAACAGTAGCAAACTTACAGTTATGAAGTAGCGGTGAAAATAATGTTGGGGAGTCATCACAACATGAGGAACTGTATTAAAGGGTCGCAGCATCCAGAAGGTTGAGAACCACTGCTTTAAATACTCACACACCTTGGCCTCGTAAAGAAAACCCAAAATTTTATTGTTGTACCTTTTTCCCCTATTTAAATGTTTTACATAGCCTTTAAATTTGAGACTCAAATTTGGCTTTGACAATTTGAGCCTTTCTAAAGTATACCCAAATTTAAAGAAAAGTTCTTACCTAATAAAATCTTATCTAGGAGATGAGATTTTGGTTATAGTGAGAACTAACAGAATCTGAGATGGAAAACTTGTTGCCAACACTGGATGAACACAGCCCACATTCACAGAGTCTGGGTTTAAATTGGGAGAGAAAGACATTTTACTTTAACAGAAAACGTGAATTCCAGGCAAAACGGACGGACTCACTCTCACTTAAGACAGTGGCTTTTCGTTTAGTGTTTTACACTCACTTCTCATAGTCAAGACTATTAAGCTCCTTTTTCTGTTTAATCACCACTAAGTTGGTCACACAAAAGGGGCTTGGAAAAATCCCTTAACTTTTAATTCCATTTTCCCACAAACTTTCTGAAGTTGCTGTATACTTTTAACATACTGTTTATTACCACCTTTTAAAGGTGCAATGGTCATTCAAGTCTAATGCCACGGCCCAGGCTACGTGAAGGCGGAGCCAGAGCCGAGGGCTCTGAGTGCGCAGGCCACTCCATCTCCGGGAGATACGCCACACGTGCATGAGGTTTCGTCTCAGTGCAAATCAGGGAGCCTGGTTTTACCTCACTACGCTCCATGTCATGCATCCACAGGCAATGCATCTAGAGAAAATGTATGGCCAGCTACCAAAGTAAAGAGAGACAAGATTATTCTAAAATTTCCTAACTACTCCTCCAATCTTAAGTCAGCAGAAGCACTAAACTTTGCACAACGCATATGGCAGCTCAACTTCCAGGTGAGAATGCTCCAGGAAATACGTAGCTGGATATGAGTGTCCCTGGTGGCTGGCCGTGAAACTGCAGCCGTGAGTGTCAAAGCAGCTGTGCCCTCAGCATCCCGCCGGGACCAGCACCAGGAACAGCAGAGAAACAAATGCAGTGTTTGCAAGACGGCACAGGTTAGTTTACTACTACGCCTTCCTTACCCAGGCATGCGTTTTAAAAGCTATCTGAGGGTAAAGCGATCTTTTACATTCTTCTAAAACTTGTAGCAGTTTACCCAATGCAAAAATCTGCTTTGGGCAAATTGTATTGGTCTAGAATTTCATTCTAACGATAGAAAACACAGGTGCTCTGGTGGCCTAGTGGGTTGCATCGTGGGTTGTTAATCCCAAAGTCAGTGGCTCAAATCTACCAGCTGCTCCATGGGAGAAAGAGGAGGTTTTCTGCTACCTGACAGAGTTACAGCCTTAGAAATCCAAAGGGGCAGTTCTACTCTGTCCTAGAGGAACTAAATAGTGTATAGGTTTCTCAGTGATAAAGGACCCTGTTCCCAGAGGTAAAGCTTGTGCATTCACCCCTCCCCGCCTTCTACTGAAAGGAGGGAGTGAGACAGAACAGACGAGGCTGAGTACATGGGGAGAATCCGGGGTTACCCAGACGGCTGCCTCTGTGTTTTGTTCTCTACCTGTTTCAGACAAAGGTCTGGACCAGCGAGAAACTTCTGAAAAAGTATGGTTAGGTGCCACACAAAGTCACACATCTCCAGAGGGTGGAAAAAAGCTCATAATGAAGCCCAGCAAGCATGTTGATTGTTGTCTAGGTGCAACCTATGTACAGCAAAATGAATACTGCCTGGTCCCGAGCCATCCTCACAACAGTGGTTAGTTTGAGCCCACTGCCACAGCCACTCTGACAATCCGGGTTCTGGAGGATCTTCCTCTTTTCCGTTGACCATGCATGATGTCCTTTTCTAGGGACTGGTCCCTGCTGATGACAAGTCCAAAGTCCATGAGATGAAGTCTTGACATCCTCGCTGCTAAGGAGCATCTGGCTGCACTTCTTCCATGGGAGATCTGTTTTTTCTTCAAATGTATCGCTTCTTCTGTGGTCGCCCATGTTTAAGGCCTAACTTTCACATGCATATCAAGTGACTGAAAATCCCACGCATGGGTCAGGTACCCACGCATGGGTCGGGTACGTTAGTTCTTGAAACAAAATTCTCACCTCTGCTCTGTAACATTTTAGAAGAGGTTCTGTGTTGGCAGGTCTTTCCAATGAAAATCCATTGACACGGCAAGAGAGCAGAATTGGTAGGAACAAAGGCACAGTGACCCACAGGAAGTGTGCCATCAGGGTTTCAGAAGGAATTGCAGAGTGATACTGCCCAGAGCTACAAGTAGAAGCTCATAATACGTACCGCTATTGGACATTTGGAAGAGATTGTTCTTTTCAAACTTCTTGAAAACACTGCCTTTAATTTCAACAAACTGAAAAAGTAAACAAAAACATCATCTTTGTATGAGTTTCGAAAGTGGGCAAGCTGATAGAAAACTTCTTCTAGACAACAAACAACGAGTACTCTTTGTGGGAGTACTGTGGCTATGTAGTGCCTGTTACAATCTGAAATGCACTTTTACATTTACAACAATGGAAAGTCTCATACTTACATTATTAGACATCATGATAGTAAGCAGTGACTTGTTGTGGGAGTTGAAAGCTACATTGAGGGTTGTTGCTTGAACCATTATAAGAATCGCATGTAAAACTAGCAGTATGTGGCGTTAAGGAAAACACCGGTGTCTGTTCTGACAGTCTATTGAATGTAGGACAGCACACATTGCAGGACCTCTATTGGCACAATGGCGAGCATTCGGCCACTAACTGAAAGAGCCCTAGTCGCTTGCTTGGCCGGGGACAGAGGTGATCAACTGTTTCCATGGAGATTTCAGCCTTGGAAACACCCTTGGGATGTGTTACCCTATAGAAGGTCCAAATGTGAGTTGGAATTGATGGGTGCAACAAGCTTGGTATACCACCTTTGAAAGTGAATACTGGAAAAAAAGATGACTATGGTTTCTAAGTGAGGTCTTAAACTAGTCACCCCCATTAGCTAGAGCTGGCATGCGTTTAGAGTAAGTCTATGCCACCCAGACGAGTTTCCTGAGAGTAGAAACGAGTCCTGTGCCCCGTTAGCTAACACAAAGCTGCATACGCTGTTCACTGAATGAGGGGTCGTGAAGATTTTGGCGACTGTGAAAGGTTTCTGAACGAGCAACGGCCGAAAATTAATTAGAATCACGGGTATCAGAGCTGGAGGTGCTCTTGGCAGTGCGTGGCCTGGTTGCCCATTTCTCGGGGATAAGGGGACCAAGAATGGGAGGAGTCTGAGCAGCCCCGATCTACAATTTATGGGAAGGGGCGTCGGGATGGGGGTGGTGTGCTCCCTCTGAGACACCAGCACTCGAGTGGCTTCAGAAAGTGGCCTGCAGACAAGTTTCAAAATAAATGCACCCTCTGCACGGACACAATCACCTTTGACAAAAGAAATAGACTCATAATTGTCATCCTGAAATGAGTCCCCCGCCCCCCGATCTTTCTGAGGAGTGCTGGTGGCGTAGTGGTTACGTGTTGGGCTGCTCACTGCAAGGTCAGCAGTTGGAAACCACCGGCTGCTCCGAGGGAGAAAGACGGGACTTTCTACTCCTGTAGAGTGACAGACAGTCTCAGAAACCCACAGGGCAGTGCCACCCTGTCCCATGGGCACGGTGAGTCTACAAGAACTCGAAGGCAGAGGGGTGGAGGCTTTTTCTTTGGTTCTCTTCAGGGTGTGGCACGTCAGGAGACAGGAACTGCCTGGTCCCCGAGAATTCCCTCCAGCTTCACTGAGGCACCCCATGATCTCTGAGACAGGCTTCCAGTCTCACAGAAGCCTTCTCACTGGGGCCATTCATGTCCTTGGCATTCTTCTAATTTCTCCCAAGTGTCACGCTTTCAAGAAATACTAAGAGGGGAAACATTGATGAAGCGCATTCCTGTGAACTAGCCCTGGTATCAGCACACTGAAGTGGCTGCGTGTCCACGACTGCTCGCTCGCTCTCTCTCTCTGAGAATAAAACATGCACTCTCCAAAGAGGGGCCTTTAAGCCAGGGAGGGGGAAGAACCTATAAAATGCCTACTCATCTAATTTAACTTCTAGACATCAAACTCAAAACAGACTGCTATCGAGTCGATGATGACCCACAGCGACAGGGCAGAACTTCCCCTGTGAGTTTCCAAGACGGCAACTCTTTACAGGAGTAGAAAGCCCCATCTTTCCCCTGCAAAGGCTGGTGGTTTTGAAATGTTGACCTTGCAATTAGCAGCCCCACAAGGAGCCACCTTTCTCTTGGTGACCACAGGCAACAGAAGGAAGTGCTCTGTGGGTTTTGTAGGTGGTCATCGTTACTGAAGTGATGGCCGGTCCTTCCCCAGGGCAAGTGCCAGGGGAGCTGGAACCGCCAGGCCTTCTGTTAGCCGCCGAGGGCTGAGCTGTTGTTACCAAGAGCCTCAGAGAGATACACAACGGGGCTTGGAACCTTCGTGGAGAAACTCCATTATCTCGTTATTCCATGTTCCCGGTTCTTCCTGAAGCTGCCTTGGACATAGGGATTTTCTTACCTCTGGAAATCACTAACCCCAGCTCAATACTGCAGACCAGGGGGGCTGTAAAAGCAGATGCCTACACTTTATCCTGGACGGTGGTGGAGTACCAATGAAAACCAAAAGTTTTCATTGCCGGGTTGGGGAGGGGGGGGAAATAACTAATTTTTTTCTGAGAAGGAGGCAGTAGGCCAAAGACATCTGAGAACCGGGACTGTAGACTGTGCCCCGGTGTTTGGGCTTCCCGGGACCCTGAAAGGATACAGACATAGAGGACGGCCATGAAAAAGTGTGGGATGACCCCGATGTGGGCTCTCTTTCTTTCTTTCGGCTCTGTTGCTGTCCAGTAGAGCGCGTCCAATATATCTTGTCCAAATGATGAAAACAGGCGATCAGCTACCTGCCGAGAAAAAGAGGGCAAAGGTGTTGGTTCACATTTCACTTGCACGTGTGATGAAAAATCAGACCCCCTTAAGGTGCTCCCACCGTCTCCTTCCATAAAGAGTGACAGTCTCAGAAACCCACAGGGGCAGTTCTACCCGCTGTAGTCACTGACTCGGCGGCAGTGAATTTGGTTTGGTTAGGTACTGGTGGGTGGAGAGATGGCGTAAGCCCCTAGCAGGCCCTCGGGGATCATACGCACCTCCAGCATGTTGTAGATGATGTAGAGCTTGATGACAGACTGCCCTCGGATCAGGTGGTACATCATGGAGTAGTCCACATAGTGCATCATGAAGTAGCAGATGACCAGAATGACACCCTTGAAAATGTCACACACCTGGGCCGGCTGGAGCAAGCGCCTGTCCCTGAAATGCACCAGAAGTATACACTGAGCCTCCTTCTCTGTGCGCCCGCAGGTTTCGTCTCGGCACGCAAAGCTAGGAATCCAGGTCAGGGGCTTCTAACATTCTCACACCGGCAGGGAAGTTACCCCAAAGGGCCGTCTGAGGCTTTCAGGCCTGGGGCAGGAAAGAAAGCTGTTAACCCAGGAGAGGTAGCATGGTGCCGTAGTCACCCTTGGGCACAGGGGAGCTGCTGCCGAGCATGGTTATGGGGAAGGAGTTACCGCCTGGGTTTCTAGGGCAGTAACAAGCCCCACAGCCTTGAACCACACCAGAGTATGGCCCGCAGTGCCACATAGGCCCTTTTTACACAATCAGCGTGTTCTACGCACACCGTGTGGCAACTCTACCACCATGTGTTCAGTGACACAGCAGAGCATTCCTGCCTGGTTCAGGGCCCCACCATTTACTCCACACCCCCGGGGAGTAACACCCTGCATGCTGCCTGTGAGATAACAGCAGTAGCGGATCCTACAACTGGAATGCACTTGACACTGTGATAGGCTGGCTGGCTTCCCTCTGCGGGAGGGGTGTGACTTTACACTCCCACAGCGGTGCATGAAGGGCCCTGGTGGCGCCATGGGTTAACTGACGAGCTGCGAACGTCAAGTTGGTGGTTGAACCCCACCTGAGAAAGATGAGGCCATCTGCTGTGGGGCAGATTGACAATCTTAAAAATTCCAAGGGTCGTTAGGAGTGCCTTCTTTTCTAAGGGTCACTCAGAGTGGCTTGGTCTCTGGGGTGCTAGCCCTGGGTAAGCCTTTAATCCCTGTGCAGCAGTACAGAGCTTGATTCACTTGTGGACAATTGTCAATCCTGTTGGTGGAAAATGGCACCCAGCGCAGTCAGAAGATTCAGTTCTCTAATAGGAATGGCATCTGCTGTCATATAGGAGACAGGCATTTTCCCATAAAGTCCCTCCTCTGGTCTTTGCCCTCTGTGGTACGAGCTGAAGTCTACCCCTCACCTCCCACCTCCAATGAATATGAACAGAATCATTCCTTCCTACGGAGTTGACAATGTAAACAGCTAAACCTAAATTGCAAAAGGACAAACATTTTAGCAAGACACAGCAAAAAAGAACTTAGACAGGAAGAGATCTGAGACAGGCCTCAGGTGAGAGATTCCGGCGAGGAGAGGGGAGCTGCTCCGGGTTCACTGCAGGCTGATGCCCAGCACAGAACATCCTGGGGCCCTGATCGGGAGTGAGCTGCTAACTGGTGAGGTCAGCAGTTCAAACCACCCTTCTGTGGCAGCAAGGTAAGGTGGTCTGCTCCTGCACGTAGCTACAGCCTCAGAAACTGTGGGGCAGCAGTCCTCTGTGCCACCTCTGTGGGTGCGACGAGCCAAGACAGAGCTGCAGACATTCCACTCTAGTCCTAGGACCACCACGGCCGGCTCATGTCCTAACTGACCACGGGCGCTCGATCTCTCGTATTGTCCTTCGCCACCTAGGCTCTTTTCTAACCCTGGTCCACACTCACACCAGGGGCTCCTTACTTCCAAAGAGCTTTGACAAGCTCAACCATGTCCATGTCTACCCAACGGCTAGCTGAACATTGCTGTGCTGTGGTCACCGTTGTGTGAGTGGCTGACATAGCTGCCTTTTCCTTTCCCAGAATGCACTCTGTGTGTTCTGTTAGGTCTGGGTCGGGCCGTCTGTTTACAGACAGAACTTGGGCTAATGCTAATGTCCTGAGAGAGGCCTCCTGGGAAGACTGCCCGGGAAAGAGAGCCACTGGGCTGCAGGCAGGAGAAGGCTCAGTGGGGGCCTGCAGGGTCAACGTTGGACAACATGCCTGGAGATGGACTGTCACCTACGCAAACTGTTCCTAGGGACGCAATGCTGGATTCTGGTGAAACGACATCAGGGACAGAGTTTACCAATCCTCCTCACTGGTTCTTGGGCAGCCTCAAACGTTCTCCAGCACCTTTCTTCTCTCTGCCCCCACCCCCCCGGCCCAGGACTGAAAATGTACATGTGTCGAGAGCTGGAGAGTGAACACAATTTTCATCTGAACACACTTTTCACTCCAACCATGCCTGGAGGAGACACCTGGACCCTCTGGAGCCCCTGGCCTGCACCTATCTATCTCCTGGGTGTGGCAGGGACCCCAAGTGAGGGGTATTCACAGGGCATCACCCACCTCCTCCTCAGAGGTCAGCCCAGCTCAGCGAAGGCTGAAGACCACAAAGCACCCGCCCTGGACCTGCAGAGTCAAGCAAGACAGGGCACACTGCATGAATTAAAGAGGGAGATGAGCGCAGACCCAAGCGGGGTCAATCTTAATTAGTTTGCAATGATCACCAAGATGACTTTGATAACTAATTACGGTAGAAAGCTATACTTTAGCTTCCTTACTGGTGTGCATACTGCTAGATTAAGTGATCCCAGTCAACGTGGCCCTACTTGGAAGAACAGGGCAGGGGGTGGGGAGTGGAGTGGGGGTGCGGTTCTATTTCCAGCTGTGTTTCTTTACAAACAGATTCACATCAAAGGGACAAGGCTTCAGGATACCTAGGGTAGAACATTGTGCTGTTTCTACAAATTATAGCTAAGCAATGCTTATATATCCCAAAATGATGTAGTTACACAGATTATTGGCCAAGATGATAATAAATTAACATTTAAACATTCAGTCTAAACATCTCCCATCCAATTTCATGTTGGCTAGGTTGTGAAAACACAAGGCATGTTGTTAAAGCACGCTATGGTTCTGGACCCTTGTACAAGTTCCTTTAGCTTCCACACAGCCTGCCTGTGGCCTTACAGAACGGGGTGGATTGAAGCAGTCAGCCGACAGAGGCAGGCTTCTAACTACCATCCTATACTTTTTCAAAGAGGAACTTCTAAACTTAAGAGAAACCAACAATTTACCACCTGTCATGGACTGAATTGTTCATCCCCACCAAATGTGTGTCAACTTGGCTGGGCCATTAAATAATGATGCCATCATCCCATCTCACACACACACCCTATGTGATCTGATGTGATCAGCCAATCAACTGCATGGGGATGAAGGGTGGGTCACAGCCCTTGTCCAATGTAAGGGGGCTTTCAGGGGTGGGGGTGGCCTGTATCACCTTTTATCTTACAAGAGATAAAAGGGGAAAGGAGAAAACCAAGAAAGAGAGACCTAACAACCAGCAAGAAAGAAGAGCTGGGAGCAAGTCCTTTGTGTTCAGGGTCCCTATGCCGGGAACCTCCTATATACCCAGGGGAGGACTGACGCTAAGGTTCTCGGAGATCTCCAAGAACGCGGGGCCACAGATGCTCCAGGAGACAAGGACCTTCCTGCCAGAGCTCAGAGGGAAAGCCTTCTCCTAGAGCAGCGGTTCTCAACCTGTGGGTCTCGACCCCTTTGTGGGTCAATCGACACTTTCACAGGGGTTGCCTAAGACCATCAGAAAACACATAAATATTTCACAATATATAATTACATATTGTTTTGTGATTAATCACTATGCTTTAATTATATTCAATTTGTAACAACGAAAATACATATTGCATATCAGAGATTTACATTACGATTCATAACAGTAGCAAAATTACAGTTATGAAGTAGCAACGAAAATAATTTTATGGTGGGGGTCACTGTAACATGAACTGTATTAAGGGTCGCAGCATTAGGAAGGTTGCGAACCACTGTCCTAGAGCCCGTGCTCCAGCCTCCAAAGCAGAGGGAATAAATTCGCTTTTGCGTTATTTCTGTTACAGTAACAATAGCTAACAGAGAGACTCCTTTACTCATTTAACATAGTGAATACATTGTTGTTGTTGAGTCCAGGCTGATTCACAGCAACCCTGCAGGGCAGGGTAGAATCGCCTCGAGGGCTTGCCAGGCTGCAAGGTTTACAGGAGCAGCCAGCCAGCCGCAGCTTTCTCCCGGGCAGAGCAAGAGCAGCAGCTGGGGTCCAGCAGCTGACCTTCGGGCTACAGATGAGTGCTCAGCCATTAAGCCACTGGGCCTCCTTTCACACCCCC